TTATTATTTGTTTAAAGCTGAAATGTAAAACGTTTCTTTAAAAAAGGGTTGTAATGAAATACACTATTGAAAATCTATAAATGTCAATACTTGCTTCTCTATTGCCTTGTTCTGAGCAAACAATTTGAATCTCTTAATGGAAAACGTGTGTGGCACTATTTTATACCTGTCACTATTCAAGATAATCAGAAGATATGAGTGTGAAAAATATTGCTTATCAAATCCTAATGAAAAAAATGTATTTACGTTTCAACTATTGCTATACTTAAAACAACGGGCAATATGTGCTTGTCGTTATCAATTTTTATGCTAAAAATTACAAATGTCAATTGACATTTTTTGATAATTTCCTGTTTTCGAAACACTGGCTTTGGTGCCACCTCCATGAGAAATACTTGTGATACTGTGCTACACCCGACACAAAATACTTTTATAGCTAGTTTAATAGCATATTATTGTATATTTAAGCTTAAGGAAACTTTTATTGCATAAAATTATTGATTCATATAGATTTGATATATTTTTGATATTATCTACAGTTATTACTTTTGCCAGAAATTGAATGAGCACATCTTTAGTTTCATTTTCAAGGGTAAATTGGGAAGGATAAAAAATTATTAAATTGGGAACTCACTACATCAAAATACTTTTACTTTTGTAGCTTCCGAATATCCAACTTGACTTATGCATCAGTGGGGGGGTAGTTGATAAATTATTATTAGTGGTTGAAAGGAATGTTCTGTCTTACCATTTTTCTGTGCGTGTTGATCATGTAAACTTTCTATCTTGAGTTACATTTATCTAAAACGTATTGATCATTGTCAACTATTTGCTGTAAACTGCTGTGATGATTGTAAAGTTATTTTTACTCAATAAATTTTTCTAAGAACTTCATTGCTAGATTTCCACTGATACAGTATTTTACTTCATGGTCTATAAACATGCTTAAGTCACTTGAACTTAAAAACAATCAACCGGAAAGCAATGCCAAGACTATCAGTTACTTATGCCCAATGATCCATGAATGGGGTAACCTAATAAGTATGGAATGCGATTGGAACATGCGTATTCTTGTGATCCATCAATAACCCACACACGTAAAAAGTCAAATATAAAATGATTAGACATACCTTTGTATGGGGGTGTTTTGGGTTTGATTTGCCCAAACGGTTTGACAAATTACATTCACTGGCGGTCTAGATTGTGTTATAACATTTTAAATTTCATGTGTTTGTACATAACCTAACATTCGTCCCTGCCCAACTCCTAACACTGCTATTTCCTAATATCAAGATTCCTATGTGTAGTTTTTTTTGCAATCTGGTTCATTTCTACCGAGTCTGCTATTAATTAACAAGTACGGTAGTCTGATAAACCATAATGAATGAGTAAATGTACTACTGTATGTATTAGACCTGACAGAAATACATTTTATAACTAGCATCAAACATTGTATATTCATGCAGAAGGATACTCTGCTAAAATTATAATCTAAGACTTTGAATATTTCAATATTATCTACAGTTGGTAATCAGTAGTTGAATAAGTCCGCTTTTAGTTTGATTTCCAGATGTCAATAGTGAAGGATACACATTTATTGAAATTAGGGACTTACAACATCAATATACCGGTACATGTTTTGTATAAAACCCTTAATTTAGTTTGATTCAATTTTGTTGGTTTTGAATATCCAAATTGACTTATGTATCAGTGGAGAAACGTTAATATATTATTATTAGTTTTTGGAAGTCAATGTTCTTTTTATCTTTTCCTGTGCGTGATAATTATGTAAAATTTTTGTGAACAATTTTATCCCGAGTTGTATTGATCATTATGAATCATCTGCTGTGACCTGCTGTGACAATCGCAAAGTTTTTTTTCACCCTATTCATTATTAGAATTCCACTGATAAAGTCGTTTTTATTTCACAGTTTATATGCGTGTTTAGGCAAGGGTACTTAGAAACAAGTCAGCCGGAAGCAATTTGAAAACAACCACCATCTTTGCCTCATACGACCAATCGTTCATAAAGGGGGGATATGATTCGCATGGATAACTCCCATGCTTGACAAACATAATGTTAATGATAAATTGTAATATCTGGTGGTTCAGATTGTGGAATAATATTTTAATTTTCATTTATCTGTATGAAGAAATTTCAGTTAATAGGTTTGCACTTTTAATGGTGGTATGATCGCTCATCACATGTCAACTGTAAATACTTCTATTTTTATTATCAAGACTCGTATCTGTAGTGGTCCTGCGACCTGGCCCTAATGATACTTCTCAAACCTATTATGTCTGATTCTTGTAAATCAGATTTGTTGGTACTGATAAGCCTTGTGTTAGTTTAGTCTGATTATATTTTGCATTTTATGTCATACTAAATATTTTATTGAATACCATGCCAATTTTTGCAAAATAGAATGTTCTAAGAATACGGATATATTTCTAAATGAAATTCAAACAAATGTATTATTTATGTTTAGCAATTATATCGGTTGAGGTCAGCCCACTAGAAATATTCAATGCAAAGTTCCTCGTGAAAGACAAAAGACGTCTAATGTTTATTATTTTGGATTATTTTGAATCAAATGTTACACACTTGTACAACAATTAAGATTGAGCAATTCAATAATCATTTTTCAATAGAGTATACTAAATTAATTGAGAGGATAGGAATATGTGGCTGAATATTTTTTTTTTGTACATTTTAGTTCCAATTGTTGAATTGGTTAATTAGAAAATATTTTTCATTTTATTTTGCATCATCAAGTCATTAGGGAGTATTTACACTCATTTGGGAAATCGAGTATCACATTGTAAATTTTAAAATTTTTACTCTCTCAAATTAAAGAGTTTTCAATTAGTGACCATGCTCCTGACCTTCTTCTATGTGATGGACATTTTTTGATTATATATAATTTCAGTGTTCAAGTAGGAATAGGATAGAAAGTAGACATTTTTATCAGCTACTGGTATAGATTAGTTTATAGCAAGACATGTTTTTGGTCAACCTATTTCTTAAATTTTACTGTATCAAATAGATTTCATGTAGCATGAACAATAGGGCGAAGAATCTTTAAAAATAAGGTAATCAATATATTATAACTGACTCAAAGACGACTTTTCTGGTCAGCATCATCCAATCCTGATAAAAACAAAATTTGGACTTCAACTGATTTAATTGATTATTTAACATGTGTAACTCCCATACTCTTACACTGATTGTTTAAATATGCATGTAACCGCTTTTCTTGTTATAGTTGAACTATGTAAGTCTGAAGAAGTCTGACCTTGGTCAGACAAAACGTTACAGAAATATATTTGTGTTAGTATGCAGCAAAACTCTTGAATCACTTAGGATAGTAGTTAGTCTCGCAGAAACCAAATCTTTAAAAACATAATCTAGAAAAATAAACTTTGAAGTATAGTGCCAACTTGCCGGAAAACTGGACAAAAAATATACTTAGTCAAAGACAATTCAAATAATTTGCGACTCGATTCAAAGGGACATGCCTGGTGACAACTCGTAGTGTGGCGCGTTTTCTAGTAACTATGGCAGGGGAGTCAAAAAAAAAATCGTGCCTTCAAAATTTTGGGGATTCCATGCCTTTGCTCAGTGCCAGGCAACATAGCCATATTCGAGGTTGAACTGCATTGCAATTTTAAAATATCAAAAAAGTATAACAACACTCAACTGTTTCCTAATTAAGCTCATTATTAGTGTAATATGGATTTTTTTTTCTGGTTAAATACTTTGTCATACACTTTTCATCACAATTCATGATTTTGACTTGGTAGGGTCTCAAAACTTCGCAAACAATTGACAAAGACAGACACCTGTGACTAATCTTGAAACTACTTTTCATGTCATTTTTGCCTAAATATCTTTGTGTGTTTTGGTGAATCTATGCTGAACCTAGTATAATAATATATAATCAAGTAAGAGAAGGCAGGATTTCATAGAGACTGTGCATAGCTGATCTTACATAAAAGTAAAACTCTCAGTGTACAGACGATCAATAACATATGGAATTTTATTAATACCGTGCAATAGCATTAAATAATATTCGACAACATTCACAATTGCTAGTTTGACCATTGCAAGTTTTATTAGTGAATTATCGGTGTCTGCCGTCTTAGTCAATTACTACTTATACCTACCTTCTTAGTCAATGATACATGTGATATCTACCTTTTTGGTTATTAACTACTGATACCTACCCTTTTAGCCATCTACTACCTATACTACTGATACCTACCTACCTTTTTAGTTATTCAACACTGATGCCTACCTTTTTAGTCATTTACTACTGATACCTACCGGTACCTTTTTAGTCTTAAAGGATAGGATAGGAAAGGATTTACATATTAGTCATCTACTACTTATACCTACCTTTCTAGTGACTGATACCCATGATACCTGTGATACCTACCGTTTTAGTAGGGTCCCTACAAACCCGTTCAGCGAATACATACAGTATGAAAGATGAGGAGAAAGAGAAGCTGGCATAATTTAGCCAATACACTTGAAAAGCTCCAGTGTACTACTAGTGGTATGCGTACTACAGGTTATGAACCACTGCTATATACCATGACCAGTATTAAAAAAAAATTTAGACTTGTCAACCAACAGTCATTGGGTAATCACTTTAATTAAAATAGTCATCCTTCACTTCCTGTTTTTTGAAAACTTAATATAAAGTGATTTCTGTAGGTCTGGAATCATTCCTGACCTGCCAAAAAATAGTACCTTGCCTATTGTTAGGTACCGTATCAGTGGCTGCTTGTATAGAGAGAAATGTGCGAAACACAAGACTTAAAATGGGTATCGCATGAAAAACAACATAAAATGAATTGCTTGAAATCAGAGAAAACACAATAATGTCAATTCAGAAATAATTTTGTAAATATCACAAAGATATTGGGAAATGTACCGGTAACTGTTTACGAAAGTCGATATTGTATTTCACCCATAACAGATTTGCTGGCATCCATTTTAGGTTTCATCGCACATTGTTCACAAATGTTTCTCTTCAGATTTGGAGCGGGTTGTTAAAGTTAATATTTCGGAACTTTAAAGATATTTACGATAAAAGTAATATCACATCAGATGGATATATTTAAAAAAAAAAGCTTCACCACATGGTCGATACACTAGGTGTTGAAACTCTATGACATCACATACCAGACATAATGTCATATCAGAAAGTAATAGATAAAATCAATAAGAACACTATCAAGTGCACTGACTTCTATGATTTTGCTGAACCACTTGAAGTTTTTAAGAGAAAACTAAATGTGGACGTCACTCCTCAATTAGAAGAAGTAAATTTTTATAAAGGAGGAAGAATACGTGAATATGGTTATATACCAGAGTCACCTGAGTTCCAAAAATATTTGAGTGAGGAGAGAGAAAGAGGAATCAGAAAAGAGACTCAGCTTGTTAAATTATTCAACAACTTCAAACAAGGTCATATCTGTTTCGTGGGTCCTGCAGGTTGTGGTAAATCCACACTCATGAAATCAACATCAAGAAAGGTTTCGCATGGAAAATATTTCCAAGGAATTATTAAGATGATTCAATATATCGAATGTAAACAATTTATGAACAACAGTAAAGTAACAGCAGGTGAACTAATTTTCAACAATCTCACAAAGGAAGAAGTAAGTCTAGCAGTAGACTATGCAAAAACTCATCCAGAGGAAGTCTTGTTCATGCTTGACTCCTTGGATACTCTTCAATATACTGTTGATGGAGTTTATGAAATCATCAGTCTAGATGAGCCTGCATGTCCTGAAGTTATTATATGGAATCTTCTCACTGGAAAGTTATTTCCTGGGATTCGCAATATAACATCCAGTCGTGAGCATTCTATCAGAAATTATTGGGGAGAAGTTCGACCAGACAAGGTGATTGCACTTGCTGGATTAACAATGGAGTCAATCAAGGAAATAATTTCTGGATATGAAGGAAATGAAGAAGCCAAAAAAATAATGGAATTTCTTAAAATCCAAGCACCCATACTCATGGTGCTGTGCACTACACCTGTGATGCTTGTTTACACATTGATAGCGTTGAAATTCAAATCTGAATTCAAACCAAACACTATGACTGGTAGTATGGTTGTGGTCATGCAAAGTGTCTTACGATCACCCCACACTCATCAAGAAAATATGTTGGAAGTTTTGGGGAAATTAAAAGAACTATCCTACATTGGGACAGTAGAACGTCGAGTTCTATTTACAGAAAATGATTTTCGTCAAGTTAATCTAAAACCTGAACAAGCAACCGATTTAGCAATCCTAGCTCCTGGAGGAATATATCGTAAACTCTTTCAAGGAATCCACCTTCTCTACTTTCAACATCAAAGTATTCAAGAAATGCTCACATCTTTTTATATTCTTGGACTGGATTTAAAATCCTTCGAGAAGTTCGTCGATGAAGATCTTCATATCGGTCACTTCGTTCTCATCAGAAAAATGATGTGTGGACTTTTATTAAATCCCAAAGTTTATGAAGCAGCAGCAAGTTTACTTGAAGGTATGGTGATGTTTAACATAGTCACAAATTTAGGCTTGGAGCCGCTTTATTTTCTAAACTCAAATCTGAAAAATGTTAGATATTAGATTCAACTATTTTGGCATCATAGGCTAAGCTAAACATCTCGGGTTAAAATTCCATGTCTGTTCCTTCACCTAACGTGTGATAAATTTGGGATGAATGCCGAACCAGAATGATTCCGCTCCTTGCAAAGACGGTACTTGATACATATTGTTAGACATTATGTAGATGCTTGTAGCATGAATAAAGCCATGACTAACCGTTGTATAAAAAATTAATTTATAAATTCTGGTCCATAGAGTTAAGATGCTACTATAAAGTTGCAAAACAAACAAACAAAATGTAGCCAAGTAGTATTTTCACACATGACAGCTTGCTCTGGATTTATACCAAAGTAGCTAGCTCAAGAAAATCTAAAGTGCACTGATAAGCGTAATCAAACACTAGTCCAAACAATAGCTGACACTTTAATGCAAAGAGCTACAAGCATCACCCAATATCATGTATATTGATTAACTATGGCTGACTACATTTGACTTTCCACTTACCGTATTAACGATATTTTAGATATGGAGCTTATCAGGCCTTATACTCTGAAGAGGCCATGTATAAGCCACCATCAAGATTAAACTATATGTATGCAGCTTCTATCATTTGGAGAGACCAGAATCTTCCTGATTTGGCATTGCTCACCCAATTTATCATATTCTGGGTGGGATGGAGGGTATGGGTTTTGGCTCAATGTTATTATTATGTCTACCTTTATCGAATGTCAACTTGTTATTCAATCATTGGTAGATGCTTTGCAGATAATGATTTTATATTTTCTCAGAAATCAAGCATCTTGAAAAAAAACGAGATATTCTCAAGGCAAGTTTGCAATTGCAACTCAAGAAACTATCAAACAAATCAGATCTTTTGGAACTTTTCGCTGCATTAAACGAAGCCAAAGATGGAATGAGTGACATTGTCAAGTCATCTCTTGATACGATTGACATGTCTGGCCATCCTCTCTCCATCAGTGATGTTCATGTCATTGGAGCAGTAGCTTCCCACTGTACATCACTTATAATGAATTTCAGAAATTGTGATCTCAAGTCAGCTTCACTTCAAACTCTTGCATCTGGATTGAAAGAATCAAATGTGGAGGTGGGTAGCTGGTGTTATTTGTTTATTTTTTTTAAGCAGTTTGGTGACGACTCACATAGTGTGTGCAAAACACCATATAATAGAATTTTATATTTGATTCTTTAAAATTTGTTTTCAAGTCTTTACTATAAATAGGGCTCTAGGCAAGCGTCTAATATTTGGAGAGTTACTGCCATATAGTAGAATTTCACCATATACTAATATAAATATGTATTACATATCAGAATTTATTTGATTTCAAAGGTTTTACTAAAATAATATACACAGAATTTTCTGGGGGACCTGGATTTAAACCAGAAATTTTTGGTCCTTGACACAAGCGTAATTGATATACCGTATTTCCCGGCGAATGAGTGTAATACATGGCAATCTGCGGACATAATAATGTGAGATAAACTACCTGATTATATTTAGTTTTTATAAATAAATATAAATATATTTAAAGTGTATATATGAAACATACATATTCATCATCTGGAAATCTCCACAAAACGAAATGTGTTGTTTCATTGATTTAATTGTGATCAATTTAATCTGCGATTGGGACGATATAAATAGTATCACTGCTCCAAATTACCAACGCAATCCGTGGACATAAACATGTACGATTATATGTTGTTTTCATTCGTATTTTTGCAATTTAAAAACATATCTGAGCTGTTGATGCAAAAATTATTCCGCTTCATCGCAGTGCTGCCATTTAATATTTTGAGTATTTCGCAGTAGTAAAAACCTTAAGTCAGTGATAATATTCCACTGAGTCAAATTTATGTTAAAAAAAATAAGATTAATATACTTTAAAATGTTTAAATTACCGTAATTACGGTGTTATACATATATCATAGTCGCGTCAGGAGATGCTAGGATAGCCTAAGGTATTTTATGGTCTAAATTTAATAATTAGGCGACATCAAAAAAAAAAAAAAAATAATCATACTCACCTAATAAGATGAACCCCCTGATATCAGGCCAAAAATTTGGGTCTAGAAAAGCGACTTATACGCCGAAAAATACGTAATAGTTTTTAATGTTTCTGGGATCAACCACCTGGTTGAAAAAAGTTTCTGAAATATGAGCTTCATGAAATTAGGTTTATTTTTGTCTTAGGAAAGTGAAAATAATGCCAGTTTATTATCAATCGTTCAATCATATTTTCGAAGTCCAAGTGAAATTGAGTCAGATCCTTCTGAAATCTCTAGATCATGGTCGTCCAACCTTTTTGGCCCAAGGGCCACATGTAGTTTAATTACGCGGGCCACTCAACTTGGCATTATGTTCTAGTTTTGCTATACTGACTACAGGTTGATGAAAAAACAAGCAATACCCCGCACACCAAACTTTCACAATTATTAGAACAATAAAACTGTTGTTTCCCAACCATTGATGGGGCGCCATCAGTAGTTATTTCCAAAAGTTTCATCAAAGACAAGCCAAGACGCTCGATTTTTTTCATCACACAGACCAATGCCTGTAGTGTAGTCGTACCCTTAATACGGACAATGGCTGCGAGCTGGAGGAATTTAGGTACCTACATTAAATTAAACACTGAACATAAACATTCAATCGTGTGCCACATACAGATGTTGATAGCTAATTTTAGGTGAGGATGTAGCAGGGGTTCCCAAGCTTTTTTCATGACGACCCCAAAGACAACTTTCAAGTGTCCAGTGCGACCCCAAGTCAATATATATATTTTTCATGGAACTTTAGAGCTTTTTCCACTGGACTTTTGAGATTGGTCATGTGATGGTATAAAGTAAAATTAGCTAAAACCAAACAGTGATGTCACAATAATCACCTACGTTTTCTTTAGCATAAGCATCGAGCGATGCCTATGGGCCTGTTTTACAGTAAGCCATGGTACAAACTGCTAAATTTAACATGGTTTGTCAAATCTTAGATGTTTTATACATCCATACTCTACCATAACTCAGCGACCCCATGACCTGTTTGCGACCCTACCTATTATCACTCCGACCCAATTTGGAGTCGCGATCCCTGGTTTGGGAACCCCTGGTCTAATGTTACATAAATACATATGTGTTCTTGTGAAGCAAGACTTTTGAATTAAATAGAATAGGCGTGGTCAATAGCAGCGTTTACGGATTCTTTTTTGGATTGTAGCAAGTTATTTGATTTACTTACACATATTATTTTGGAACACGACTGAAAACTGTCAAATGATAACTACACCATGAAAACAAGGTAATGTTTACAACCATGCTTGAATATCTTTCAAGCGATCGCACTCACTGCAATTGTTACGCCATTGGGACTTCAAACATTATCATATTTGGAATTAATTTTAAAATATGATTCAATTTACCAGTGTGTGTATATGCTGATTGCCCATTGTAACGGCATAAACAAAGAAATCGGTGCCCTCGAAAATATCCATGGACCACAAAGTTAACATAATAATCATTTTTAACGTGTGTTGTCACTTTTGTCAGCGTTTTTGTGACATTTTAGGAAAAATGTCATTGTACAAACAACACAAATATATCACTCACTTCATTATATAGTGTAAATAGGTTTTAATGTTGAAATATTTGAAATGGTTCACAAACATAATAAATATGTACTTTAAACTTAATTTGGTGGGGAAATATTGACTACATAATATAAGTAAATGTTATACAGCTGGATTTTTGATATTAGATTCTAAATGTCTCTACTTTGAACAAGGTCTAATCAAGTGACAACTGATGTGTATTGAGCTGCTACGACACAATAAAATGATCAGAGTATTTTTGGCTTGAAATCGACTATTCATTTTGTCACACACTGAGGGATCTGGGGGACAAACATCAAAACATTCTAATTATGCCTTGAGCATTATGTTATCCAATGGTCAGAACACTGGTATTTGTGTTAATGAACTTCTAGATTCCAATATTTCTATATCTTTTGCTCAGGACTTCCTAATAAGTGAGAGGTCAAAATAAGCGAGAATATGTCAATCCAGGTTGAAATACCAAGGTTTGAAATTTCACCATTTTAACTCAATCTCGAGTGGCTTTTCTCTTTTTCAATCTATTTTTTTTAAATCTGTTCAACAAGATTTAGAACAGTCTAATCATGATCTAAGATTATACTTGTTTTGACATAGATCTCGGAGTTGTTGCTTGATGGGAACACAAACATGGGAGTTGAAGGTTTATCATCAGTTGGACAAATACTTCCCAATCATTCCTGTGTTATATACTTGGGCCTTAAAAACTGTAACCTGTCTTCAGATCAACTACAAGCTTTCAAATCTTCGATATGCAATAAAATAAAGGTGAGTTACAATTATCAACCTGTACTAATTTTTTTTTTTTGAGTTAGTTGTATAGCAATATCTGTAATTTATTGTTATATCTTTCTGTCAAATGCTGAGTCAAATAAAAACTCTCCCTGGCTAATCTAAAGTTGAATTTTCAGTGTTCTGCTCAGTTTGCAATTTTTGCAAATAGGCATCTTGAACAGTGGTACAATTAGATTTTAAAGAATCTCTTTGTGGAAAGAGTATGATCTTAGAAATTTGTAATATATTTTATGATTTCACAACCTAGCTACAGTATTTTTTATACCAACAATAACAGTAATATGGAGCTGGAATTCCCAATCTTTTCAATTTGTAACTATCTATGGGAACTGTTGATTATCATTGCTTGATAACCAGGTTTGTTTACTCATATAAAAAGAGGTACAGAAATACAATTGTCAGCCTTCTTCTGTAAAGGAGGTAAAATATGATAAATAGTGAAATTATTAACAAATATATCAATGAGTGGATCCAAATGTAAACGTAGTAGAAATAGTAGTAACTGGTGATTGAAGATTTTTTAAGTTGGTTTATTAATATCTCAAATGAAGCGTTATAAATTTCTCATTATGAATTCTCAGGTTTTGATCAATTTGCTATTGCTCTGAACAAGATTTGGTAGACCAAGTCGACATTATGTCAGGTTGCCTGCTAAATTTAATATACCTCGTTTTTGTTGGTGAGCATGGAATTTTGATATTTTAAACATGCGACACCATTATTTTTACATCAAAAACACAAGGCGATTAACTAGAATTGGTTTTCTGAACAGTTCAATGTCAGGGAGCATGACTTTGGTCTAGTTTTGGGTAAACATGGACCATTGACCGAAGTTGAGTCGAGATAATTTCAAGCGAGTCATTATTATGTAAAATTTTTTGATGATGTACTCAACGTCACTGAATTTGGCAAAATCCAATATTTATCAAACAAATACTAACAAAAAGGGGCGGGGGTGTGACTCGTCGGTCCAAGCATTAAAAATACGATCGCCACAGCATCTCTGATTACTCTGCGTGGGTTCTCAGGTTCGAATCTCACGCGGAGATAATTATGTACGAGAGGATTGCAGGATTCTTCGATGCCGTAGGGTGGTTCACGTAATCGCTGGTCAGTTATGGCTTTCTTCATCATGAAGTACATGCTTCCAAAAAAACAACTAACTAATTAATCCCATAACTAACTTGGAATGGTAACTGGACGAGAAGCCGTGGTTCGCCATATGGTTAAGTCATCTAATCGGCTTTCCTCTTCCCGGGATAAATATGTAAATCCTATCCATAAATCAAAAAACCTGAAAATTGGCCAGAATTTGAAGTTTTCTGGTTAACTAATGACAAAATTTAAGTCAAAAAATATTTAGTAAATATGAGCGTGTGCTCATTTTTGTACTTTACGTTTTTTCTATCAGTTATCAATTTTTGACGCCTCCTCGCACCTCCTCCGCGCCTCGCACCTCCTCCGAACAAACATACCGTTCTAGGTTTTTTAAGGTATTTCTCTGGTGTTTCTTCCTCCCATGTGTACCTTTTCTATTTATTATGTAGTATTCTTATCCTAACAAGTATTTGTTACAGGTTTTAATCATTATTTTAATTTTTTTACAAATATCATGTCCGATTTCTGAGGCGGCATAGAAGGATAGGGGCATTTACAGCTGAAACGCGGCACTACTTACTGAATTTTTTACCTACGAAAGGGCTTTTGGAGCGAAATAGTTTTGTAGGTAGAGTTTCTACTGTATACTTCAGTGGTTCTCACTCTTGTATTTAATGTGATGGTTGTAATTGAATTGTGAAAGCCAGACACATTTCCTTTTCTACATTTAATTGAAAGCTTTACTACGGCCAAGGCAGAAAAACCTGCTTCACATAATTACAGACTCACAAAGGGAAGAAAAAGTGCACTTTTTTACGCAAGGAAAAATAATCTACAGTCGATTGAAGGACATCCAAAAACTCATTACATTTCAGAATTTAATTTTCTATATCGATTCTGTTCTACAAACTAGCGAAGAAATGTCGCAAGGTGTTGTTCGTAGCAAGATTTTGGACAGTGAAAGCATATTATCTAATAAGTCCAAAAGGCATTTAGTAACATCGCATCCACAATTACAACAATAACCGCAGAGCCTTTTTGCAGTGCAATTTCATATTTAGATTTTTTTCTAACGCATCGCAAAACAGGTACACTTCAAAAAAAAAATATATTTTGCAACGTCGTAGCAATATTGAAACGATGCACCGCCATGCCCATTTGAGAACCATGAGTATACCTAATCACTGTACTTATACGATTGTGAGTAGAAAATTCAGTATGACTGTCGAGAACAAAATTAGTTTATGTTGGTCTATCAAGAAAAAGGTTCGGCACAGACCTCGCCTTGTATTGGGGGAAATTGAGCCAGTTTAGAGCAAATCATAAAATGTTAAATTGGTTTCAAGAAGTACTTAATGTCACTCAATGTGCTATTGTATAATCCAATAATTTACGGTGAATTAGTGGTTAAATCATTAGACTTGACTCAGTTGGATAAGATAGTACTTAAATATTGATCCAGAAGGGAGAAGAATGCTGATAACAGGGCTTTTTTATATGCCGCACCACGACCTCCCGCACCACGACCTGTCTTCCGGTTGCCAGCTCGTGTCAGATATGGATTAGTTAGCCAGTTATTTGCTACAGATTCATGTAGTTGAAACCGATTAAAGGTTACGTCAACCACCCTATGGTGGCAACGAGTCCAGCAATCTTTTCACTCATAAATATTCTAACAAGATTCGAACTTTCGTACCCTTTCAGGGTAATCATAGGTGACAAGCGTAACCCTAATACTTGCATGATGTGCCACACCGCCAATCCATTTTGGGTTCAAATGACAATCCCATCATCACAACCAGGGTGTCATAAGTTGGGTAGGTGATATCGTACCAGAAGGATTCCAATCCTTCACAAAATTGCAGTTCCTTACATAACACTAGATATTAGTGGATTCTTGCCTCAGGCTTTTCGAAGCCAAATGCGCGTTTAATGTCTGTATAAAAAAATGCTGATTTCCAGTGTTGGGAGTACAAATATATATAAATTTTGAAATTAAACTTCGAACTTTTATTTATACTAATTTAGCTTCAATTTTTCAATTTCTTCGATAAAATCACAGTTCAATTTATTTTGATTAAAATTCTAGAACTAGAACTAACTAATAGTCTAAAATACTACTTATTTTTAACAAAGAAAGTTTCATTTGTTCATGACCACATTTAATTTTCACAAATTATTTTTGACAATAATTACTGCAAACATTGTGACAAATTTTAACTTTTAATCTTTTGTACAGAATTTTCAAATTGTCATTCAGAGCGAATTTTGACTTCTGGAATCGAGCTAGTTTTTTACTGGCACAACGGCTTGACTTTTTTAGAAATTTCAATTTTGGCTATGTTGCTGAGTTGATATTAATTTTAGCATTTTGCTTATTGATTACTCATGCTATCAATTATGAAATACAATTGATTTGGCCACAAAACAAGTTGAATTTTGATGTTTTTATGACCCTGATATGATGAAAGTTTCCAACTTCTGGCATAAGGATATTTTAATGTTACAAAAGACTTTCAAAGTATGAATTTGAATAGACATGATCGAGTGGAATATGAATTTAAATATCTTGTTAATCGATGACAGTTGCTACCAATTCATTAAATGCAATTAACTTTTCTTAAAATTAGAATGTCACAGACTAAGACATTAAAAGTGGTATTTTATTTACATTGCCCTGGATTTTCAGTTTAGAGCAGTGGTTCTCAGACTAGTCCCAGAGCCGAATTTCAAATCTCAAAGTTATGAAGAGCCGCACACAAACAACGCAAGGTAAAATAGCAACAAACCTTAACCGCGTATTTAAAATACCAAGTCATCGTAACAACAACACACGTAACCAATAGGGCTGGGCAAAATATTCGAATAATAAAATATTCGAATGGCATTTTAATATTCAAATATCCGGTACCACGTGACCTGCGCCGCTCTGCTTGGACACCGAACTCGTGCGTCTCCAACTCAATCTTGAATTGTGCGAGATTTCCCAACGGCGATCGCTATCAGAAAGAAACGACAAATTTGAAAAGTCGTTGTCTTTGCGTTATGGTGTTATATGCTTATCTTTGCACTTAACGTATTGTTTCAATTCCATATTTTGCAAAAAACGTACTGACCGTTCCGTAAATATATAAACGTCAAACCAGATTAGGTATTTAAAATAAATTTCCCAGATTTTAAACTCCGCATGCTTGGTGACATGTCATTAGTCACTTCTTGACTTCTTAGCGAACATAAAGTTGATTAAAATTAAATGTTAAAATGACTTTTCGGCGTTTCATTGTGAAAAAGGCGATTTTCGGCCGTTGGAAAACTCTAGTTATATAAATAGCATGTATTTAAAAATGACCAAAAGTTTTTCCAAAATTTGGTATGAGTTACTTGTATGAAAAACACTCATTAAGTTGTAACCAGATAAGCAATGTCATGCCCTTTAAAGCACTTTGTATTAGCTCTTCGGCGATCCCTTCCATCCTTGACCAAGTAATGTCCAATATGTAAACATTTTACACGACCATCCATCCATGGCCGTTGAGCCAAGAGTAGAACGTAAAATCAATCGTGAATTTCGTTAAAACAATGCATACTGACTCGTTCACGAATTGTTGCGTCTATTATCATCAAAAATGATTACAATTGTCAAATTTTGAAGCATTTGGGCAGTAATAATTTAGCCTTAAGGCATGACATAATCAAAATCATTAAGTGAAGTGCTGAAATTGCAAATTCCGTAAAGAAAATTGAGCATTACTCAGTAAGTATTTTAGCTATAATAACTATCGGGGTGTTGTTTTGTTAACTAAAAACGTTAAAACTTGAATGAATTAGTTATAATTGGCGTCTGGACCCGATATTAGGCACAAAGGTATAGAAGTTCCTTTATTTTCAGTTTATTTAATCGCTATTTTAAATCAACATTCAGGATTCACACAATCGTAAATTTGCTAGGTTTATCTATCTAATACTAAAATAACACGAACACCATAGAAAGCATGAGAAACTCAATTATCATTTTATTAAATATCTGCATCTCGGTTACCGTTCACTTCAAACAGGCACGGTTAATTTACAATCGATGAAAAGGAAGATCAAATCCAAGGCAGATGATAAAATTCAAAATAAAGTTAATTTGGCTTTGAAATCAGCCATTAATGTATTCAACAGCTGTCGCTGATGTGAACGCAAGGGTATACTAGAAATATGAAACTTCGATATCAGGCGACTCCTTATTCTTGCAAAAAACGAGAAAGGGCGGTAATAAATATATCAACTTTAGGATATCGCCGCCGAGACGATCGCGGTGACAAAGACAATCAGCGATTATGATGAAATTAACCATTAACCAGTAAAAAACGCTTTATTGGCGACTTTTTAATGTTTCTATTAATTTCTAAATGGAGTATCGACTTTCGACGTTTTGGATCTCTGTTATGTATAAAAAATATTCATTATTCGACTATTTGGTATTCGTTAAAAATATCCAAATTATTCCATTGAAAAAAAGATTCGATTTTGTCCACCCTAGACGAACAGTCATTTAATTTGGCTTCGATTCCTAAAAAGTTCGTCAAAGCGGGTCGTAATCGTGGAGGATGCAAGGTGCAGTAGCTGCTTGAGATGATCGCCAGATATTTCGGGAATATTTTCGATTACTGGAACAAAATTAAAATGCTCTAGAAATTAAAATAATCACTGAGTTATTTTATTTATAGGCTTACATAATATTCGGAAATGCGACAAAAACTGAAAATCTACGAACGCAAGCCAATGATTACAGCCATGTCTAAAATCTTTCTAAGTGAAAAAGTGGCCGCGAAAACGCTTACTGTTGTGTCACTATTGCATCTTGTAGATTAGTCAACGCTACGCAAATAAACCCAGGGAATCCATTCGACTAACCAATAGACTTACACATTTTAATTTCAAGTCAATGGTTAGTTTTCAATGAATTTTAATTTTTAAAGCATTAACAAGAGCCGCAGGAAAGTTTGAGAATCACTGGTTTAGATAAATTCTTGCTATAGTTTTGATGATTTATTCAAATATCATATTCTATATTTGAAATACTGTGTCATTTCATCGTTTTTCTTTTTTATTTAAATCCATTATTATTCTGTGAAAAATATTAAAATATCATACATATAGTTCTATTAAAATTATAATTTGCTGTTTACAATCATGGTGATATGTGGGAGAGTTATACATATTTTAATATTTATCGCAAAATTTTAATATTAAACAAGTTTCGGTCAATTTGTGTTTAGAATGAACAAGGTGTCAAGTATCAAAATACACAAGGGTTGAGATAAAAATTTCTTCATATTTGAATAATGTAGGTTGGGCAAACTCTGATTTGTATTAGGTTGAACAAACTATGACGAATATACCTGTTATATATTTTATTCATGTCTAATTGTTTTTTGTATTTATTTATTTCAACAGATTGATCAGTTGAATCTGTATGAAGATCATATTGCACACCATGAAGATATTGTCGCAGTTGCAAATCTGCTTCCTAATGTAACAAAGAAGTTGTGGTTGCAAGGATGGAAAATTGGAGAGGAGGAAGAAGAAATATTACAGAATCAATTGGATGAAATTAGATCTGAGGTTTGAAAATGTTTCTGGTATAAACAAATTATAAAATACGGGCAGGTAAAGTAATATCAGTGATTCTTATGGAATCTATAAAAAAAAATTCTAAATTGTTAAAATATAATGTTATCGTGGTCAATTTCGTTGTGTTACACATTAATATGTACTATATTGTGATATTGTTCATCTATTTTCAAATATACAGAACGGAATTATATTCATTTTTTAAAATATATTGCTCATCATGCTTTACTGCATTAATGAATAATTTCAATTTTTAAAAGAAATTAAACTTATAACAGAAATTTCACGATACTAAAATAATTTTCTTTCAAGACTCATTTTGTTCCCGTTTCAAAAAGCAAGAGTCTAAATTTTGAAGTTAATTGAATTTACTAATATGTCACAGTAATTATTTATATGGAATAAATTTCAAAATGTGCCAACTGTTAGTTTTTTTTGTGTTGCCAAAGATATCACAAAGTTTGTGAATTGATAAAAGCTTTTTAATAAATTGAAAAATACTAAGAATCATCTGCAATTTTATCTAGTATGTATTTAAGTATGAAAATTCATTCGATACCAACATGGAACATTTATTGTTTGTGAAAAATTCATGTGACATATTTGATGCATCACAGGAACTAAGAATTTGTCTGAATGAAAAAATACTCAAAAGTCAAAAGAAAACAGCATATTCAACGACTGAAGTCAATTCTAAACAAATCCCAGAAACAGACTTTGGTGAGTCATGGATATTTCACAAATATAAATATAAAGGTACATTGATAGATAAATTACAATCAAAACAACATAATTTTGTCACAATTTTTCTCGCCATTCTAATTTCTTATCTTGAAAATGGTTGAGCTTTGTTCATAAAATACACTGTGTAGGTACTTGAATTCATTTATCATGTCACAACATCTTGCCACAGCCCACATATTATACCCAGGGCCTCAGCTAGGAATTTAAAACGAGGGTTTAAAATCGGCAATCTACAGATTGATGTGAGACGATTTTAATGATTACATACCCCCTGGCTGCACCACTTATTATGCCATTTGATTTTTGAACATTTTTTGTATATCAATTATGTTGTTTTAAATTGAAATAATTATTTATCAAAAAACAGTTGTAATTTACTGTGATATGAAGAGACATAAATCTCGATTATGTAAAAATATTTTCTTGGAAAACTTAAAATAATTTATTCATTATTTGATTAATAGTATTAAATACCTTAAAACAGACATTGGCGTCTTTAATACTAGCATTTCAATAATTGTATATTCTTTTTTCTAAGGGCCCACATCACCACATGGCAGTTTTAAGAATACTGTAGAAAATATGGAGACTCTGGATAAAGTTGGAAGTCCAAGGTTGGATACAACATTAGTGTAACTTTATTAAATTTACTAATTGTCAATTCAAAATAGACCTGGAGGTAAAACTACGTTGACTTCCTAGGGCAGTGTTCTGCAAACTTCATGTACTTGCGGGCCTAATATACACATTCCCGGTAGCGTGCAGGCCACAATATTTCCGCCTTTGAACAATCATCACATTATGTCCATATTATGTTGCATCCGCACCTACTATTGCCGCGTTACAATCCTGCCACAATAAGATGTGTATGGGGCCCTTCATATTATATTACCAAACAATACATTGTTTTTATTTACCTATTATAAATGTGATGGATAATGTTGTTTCTGTGTCAAGGCCAAAGCGCTGAAATCAAATGACAACTTTGTTGCACCGCGGTCATCGTCCAAATGACAATCGAGTTTGAAATTTATTTTAGGTGTAATGCATTATAGATAAAGATGCTCACATCATTATGTGCTTCCGAACGTGCGCATTGCACTGTCGCACAGATGATCAGTAGCACAGCCTCTGGGTCGAATTTCATATTTGCAATGACACATTTCGTAATGACCCTTAATAACTGTGATGCTGACTTGGGATATCGAGCAAGCTGATTTTGAAACGCGCATAAAGGAAAAATGTTTTTCCGTCAAAGCACTTTGGATTGTTCAACCCTCGTCGCAAATTTCCCTTCGTTTTCCAGACAATTTTAAATTTGAAAATCAAAATTAACTTGACTTATAATTACAACCAACGATGAGATATTACCTACATACAACCAAGCTTACTTAACAACAAAACAAGCGCCATACAGCAGCACATGTTACCACCTAAATCCGTGTGTAGACCATAATACATCTAGGATCAATTTTTGTTTTATGCATTCAAAGTCAGGTCATTTGAGGGTTGCAAAAAATTAGTTTGCATCTAGAGTTAAAAAAATGATAATTATACTTCTGAAATAAAGTAGCTGTATAACCAGCACTGGTGTTTGGATCCTGGTCTTGAGTGAAAGGAGTATGGAGTTTTTGTATAAAAAATCCCATAATAAACCCTAAATACTAATGCTTGCCTAAATCCCAAAATTTTCACAAAGCAAACAACATTATTTTTATTTATTCTTATTCATTGAGCTCAGAATTAATGGCATGATTTCAAAGTCTGAAGTCTGCTTACCATTTACATATCAGTAATTTTGTGAATTAATAGCAATGAGAGCTGTTTCTTGTAATATTACAAACTTGATATCTCGATTGTGATGATGATTTTATCCACAGAATCAGTGAGACTCAAAACTGGGATCACAATACTACATTGATTATGAGAATATTTAATTACTGAAAAATTTGCAACAGCATTTGGTTCATATAGTGTAATTAATTTTACAAGGCATACTCCCATTTTCCCACTTTGAATAAGCAACTACATATACGCACACAAGGCTACTATTTTGCGGGACCAGATTTTTTTTCACTTGAAATTTCTTAAATATATTATTACATGCTGGGTCAAGGGTCAAGTTCAAATGAGGCCACAAAAAATTATAGGAAATTTACTTTTGCATGACAAAAATAATAACCCAATGAATCATCATTATTGTCTAACTTGCAAAAGATGAGAAATGATTTTCAGAGCAGAGATTACAAAGCATAGATTTATTCATAATCTTGTTCAGACCAATGTGTAAATGTACACTCGTCATTGTTAAAATACATTGGTAGTATTATATTTTTTTATCATTGTGACATTTTCACCAGAAAAGCCAAAAGCAGTTGCACAAATTGCATCTTAAAAAAAATTGCTTATAATTTTCACCTCACCTTAATTGAAATGATAATCAGGATTTAATTTTTAGCAGAAGTAGGATCTGAGATTCTTGAACAAAAATTATAGCTTGAACCTTAATGGCTGTAAAACTATCTTGTATATGAAGCACTGCTCGGTTAATCTACTCCTAATCTCTTCCGAGTAGACTTCAATATCGTAGCATGATGGACAATTCCAAATTTTTATTTTCCTATATTATCTATTATGGGAAGATTTTAGCCAGAATTTGCTTTCTGGCTAAAATCTCCTCATAATAGATAGAAGCTGTGTATTATTTTCATGTCCACCAAATTGATATAGAAGTAAGATTGAATCTTCAGCGCATTCAAAGACTGGGATCCGAGATTATTTAACTAAAATGATAACCTGAACCTCCTTACGACTGTAAAAAATATCTTGTTTTCGAAACATTGCTTGATTAATCTGCTTATAAACTCCTGCTGGATGTCAATATAATGTCATGATGGACTAACGAGTCAACAAGTCGGGTTTCTCAATCAATGTTTAACCAATTTGAAATTATATTACCGTATATAGTTCTGTTCTATCAAAATAAAATCCGACTAATATGAATGTACTTTTTTTCTAATGTACTAATCTACAGAAAATTTGTTTTCAGAAGCAAAATCCCGAGAATTGAAGTAGAAGAAATTCAGCCCGTAGATGAACTAAGTCCATATGGTAAGTCTGTCAAATGTTTTAAAACTTACAATAATATGATTAGTATGGTTCATAAATGTATTTATGTTCGTGACATTTCCTATGTTTTCTTCAGTACAAATTTAAGCAGATTGGCGTTTTGCATGAACATGATTATAATTGAAGATAATTAACAAACATGTGAAACCTGAAATATATTATTTTGTTTGTCATTCGTTTCCTATACTTCTGTGAAAAATGCATTTTTAATTCATGAAAATGTAAAAGCATGATAATGATACCTATGATTCGGGTTGTCAAAATCGAATATTCTTTTGATTCGAATCGAATAATTTTCTCGAATTGAACCGAATAATCGGATATTATTGCACAATCCTAAATCTGTATCAATTGTACTATAAAAACCCCCAATTGGATATTGTAATTAGTATATGCAGTTAAAATAGAGGACTCCAATATTAAGTTTTCGAAAACTGAATGTTGAGACTTGAATTTTGCAAAGACCCTCAATACCTTATTCACTCAATTCTAATAGATTGCTTTAATAAGTCATTCCGTGTAAGTGCTATTTTAATCCTATTATCATTAGTCTTAAATCCTGAGACTTTTTGTGTAATTTTCAGCAAAATGATAAACAACGATTAATATAAATAAGACCGTTGCCTAAGAAATTCAAAATTGTAGCTAGATTGATGAAATATTTATTTTATGAACTTATTGTTACTGTACAACAGCTACCCAAATGCAAGAGTGCAGTTATTTGTTTTGGTATAGATGGATAATAATAAGTATTGTCATCATTAAACCCCACAATGCGTGTTTTAGCTGTGAGTGAACTGTACCATGTTGCTATGAGTAATAATTCGAAAACTTCAAAATGATTCTATTTATGGAACTAGCGTTTTCTGTGATACTAAATTGCCTTTTTCACCTTGTGTACTCTCTCAAAAACGTCATGGCCGATAATAAATTTTCGATTATGATTTTGCATGGAATGCCGATGTAAATGCCACTAGCATTAGCAGAAACACCTTTTTACAGCAAAATGAAGGCGAGAGAAATATCGGGAAAACTTGCGCAATGAAATGCGCCGCCGCTTGCCCAATGAAAAACGCTGTGCAAAATAAAAAGTGGTTGGGGATTTTTTCGTTTTATGTAGCTAATTTTAGAGATTCGCAGATAAGCCAAAAAACGATTTGAATAATTTGCAATTCGATTCGATTTCGAATATTCGGTTCGCTTGGACAACCGTACCTATGATTCTAAAAAATACGGTACACAAGCCCCTTTGCTATGTAGGTACGTAGAAGTTCTTGGAAATATCCCAATCATTCCAGTTCGACACATAGCCTTCTGCTGAGTTAGAGGTTACATTACATTTGTAAATTCAATTTTTTTTACTTTTGTTGGTGAATATTTGGAACAAGAATATTTAGTCTACCGGTGATTAAAAAATAAAAATTATAAATAAGAATTTTAAGCTAGGGAAATTCTGTAACATGAAGTTTTCAATATTCAAATACCAATTTAAGAAGTATGATAGTTCAACAATTAATGTCCAGTCCACTATGGCTCTAATGGCCCTCTGACTCAAGCCTTATTTGCCGGCCCTGTAATTAGGTCAGGGTTTTTGGTCCTGCCATATTCTCATAAATGTAACAAAAACGGTAGATTTTCGCTATCTTAGTTATATAATGATAGTATCATATAATGTATAATGATAGTAGCATATTAGCTTCTATAAGCTATTTTCATCCACCTTAGGTCTTCTCAAAAGTGATCTTCATGATGCAAGAGTCACATACGACCTTGTTGAGGTACTTTACAAGCATCGAGATGATAAAAAAGAGGTGATTTGTGAGGCCATAAAAGATATCTCAATAAATCATTACAACTTGAATGATGTGAATATCAAGGTCTTTCTCACCACAATCTCAAAATTAGATAAACTTGAAATGCTGAACGTACAGAATTGTGGAACATCTGAATATCTCAACAATTTTTTTGAAAAATTGGGAAGGACAAACTGCAAGGTATGTAGATTAGGTTACTATATTGTCTTTATATTTATCTTACTGGGTGAGAGGAAAGTTGATAAAACACGTTACTCATATGGCAAACCAAGCATAAAATACACTTATCAGTCCAGGTTTATATTGAAATTGCTAAGGAGTTAGTTGTTCTACATGAATAACTTGAAAGATAAAGGGGGAAACCAGTGAATGTTGATCACTCCGCAATGACGAGCAGGTCAGCATTCTTTTTTCACATAAATATTCTCCATGAGATCCAAGACTGTCAGGCAGATGCAGGATTTTCAATATGTTGGGAGGAGATTCAAAATTGAAAATTCCCATGCAATGCCAACACATTCGTAGATTTTTTCAGTATAAAGATTTTTCTGTTGTGTAAAATATTCAGCCCATCACAACTACAAAAATTAAAATGTATTTCTGTATTAATTTAATTGTGCTCAACGCAACATGCGATTGCGTTGCGCTGACTTATAACAAAATGTAAGCACCACTATCACAGGGCAGACAAAAAATGTGAGAAAAGTATATTAATATATCAAAATTAAAAAATCATAATTCCCACAGAAAGGCATCTGAAACACTCACCACTATTACGTCAATTGTTTAAAGATTATTAATGAACAATGATTATTTGTTTGCGCAAAGTCATCAATCCATACCAGTACAGGCAAATGTAAAATTTCTTTAAAAACATCTTTAAAATTTAAATTGTTCAAGGTAACCTGCAATTACATTAACTTTACTACAACTAAATTACTGCTTCAAATAACCACAGCAATCCACATTTATTTTAGTAAAATAAAAAATTCATAGAATATACTTAACTAACTTATATATAATCTGAAAAAAATTCGCACCAGGTACCAGCATTAGTTAGTTAGATAATGGATGAAAAAAAGGTACACCGCGCTCACAGTTGATTGTGTTTCCTTTTTAGGAATGGTACCAGGTTTTTGGTTTTTAAAGCCAACCAATCATATTGTGTAACCACAAAAATTTTCCTGATTTACAATTTCTGAAATAGTTTCTGAAACAAATCTGATGGTGTTTTTAGTTTTATTTTTAGTAATTTATATAACCACTTTTCAATCTAAAAAATTGGAGATTTTAACAAAATTTAATCACTCAATCGCATTATTAGGAATTGTTTATTCTTCAAAAATGTTAAAAATGAGGTTTGGACCCTGAAACCCAGCTGCGTCACTGCTGTGAAGCTCTGCAAAGTAAAAAAAAACATGTTTCTACGATTTATTATGGTTTGTTGAACACTGATATGTTGATCCCTTCAATATCCCACGAACATCATACTCGCTCTTCCGCAATGTCAAATTTCTTTGTACCTCGTTTTCTCTCAAGTAAATCCCAAAACTCCTTGAAATACAAATGTGTAGTAACTTGGAATAGCATTGCCCAAACCATGCGTGATACCACTTACGAAATGTTCAAAGCTAAATATATAAAACTCATGATCTTTTCCGCTGCTGTCACATCTTCCAGTTGATATTGTCTCAGAGTCTTGTTTTCTTGCCATTATCAGCTCAACATTTGACTAGACTGTTGGGTCTTTAGTACCTGGAATAAATATCCATATTTTTTTGTGATTAGCTTAAATTTCATTCTATACCTTCCCTATTTGGTACCAGTTGCATGTGTATGGATATAACACCATTTTGAGAGTATCTGTATATATACTGTATATACTGTAGTATTTATTATTACCTGCAATTTGTTTAATGACTGTACAATCGATTGAATAGAAATATTAATTTTCATACATTCCACACCTTTACGGTTTTCAGCTTTGACTCAAGCACCAAGACACAGTACCAGGTTCATGCTTCATGACCTCTTTTTACCAAATAAGTAAATTTAATAGTTAACATTCTATCCATACATGCTCTTCCTCTGGGTCGCTGCTCGATAACCAGTACTGTTTTTTTGCTATATTCTATTGTTTTTTTATTCTATTCTGTATAATGTACCTCACATATTTTCAGCATTGGTGGAAAAATAAATTACTGATTCAAAGCTATGTTTCTTATACATATCAGTAAAGCTATTTGGATTACAGTTAAAAAGTCAAATATCATATTTCAGATTGCAAAAATAAGTATTTGGGAAATGAAAAACCTGAAAATTTACTCTAAATCCTTGCTGAAGCTTTTGGCAAAATCTGAAACAGAATCACTGAAGATTCAGGCAGTTGAGCTTGGAGATGAAGATGTGTATCAGTTACTTGAAGATATTAAAGACCTGGTAGATATATAAATAAAACTTTGTACTCTGGAATAAATATTATTTGAGGGACAAAAAGTTAATCAGTCCCGAAAATGGTTGAAAATAAAATACAAACAGATATTGTAACAATCAGAGCCTTGGTAAAAATATAAACAATACAATTATTCTAGATTTGCTCAGGTCACTCTCGAATATTGAACTCTGACATGCCTAATACACATATATGTGTTTTATCTGGAAATATGAATATGTTTGTGTTGCTCTCGTGACATAAAGATCCAATTTATTTGTTTAATTTCGATAACTGAAGGCAATCTATTTAGGCAAATAGATTTGCTAAAGACTGGGATATTCCTACTTGTCATATAGCATACCCAATTTTTTAAACCATTGGTGATGAGTTCAGGGGGTTTTAATGTTTATTTTAATATGCAATGTCAACAGATTCAGGTTCAAGTCACTAATCAGTATCTAAGTCGCTATTGGTTAACAATCCCAGAGTTTAGTTTGATATGAAGCTAGAAAACTAAGTCGATTCTTTTGATATTGTTCAGAATTCAGAATATTCACTTAGTGTATTGTCTGTGAGTCACAACACCAAGATGGGACTGGAAGGCTTTTGCAAGTTTGGTGAAATCCTTCACATATTACCTGTGAAAACAATCAATTTGTTCGATTGTGATTTAACTGATGACAAGCTTTCGAATTTGTTTGGTTCTTTGAAGCATAAACAGGTGAACTATTAGATTGATTGGATTAACAGATTATTTCGAACTACTTTCGCCCCTATGACCCATCTTATCATTTGAGATATGAAATATGTTGAATTAAATAATTGAAAAATATCGACCACGAAGTATTGATGTCGTCTATTAAAGTAAGACTTAGTTTTTTAACTGCATATTGGTTATTTCAGATATCAACTCTAGATGTAAGCGGGAACACCGAAATCATGCATGAAGGGTTCAAGATTATTGGACAAATGTCTGCAAATTCTGAGTTGCGGAATTTACATGTCAGATGCTGTGAATTAGATGAAGCAAAACTAAAGAGCTTGCAAAGTTCATGCAAAAGCAATACAGAAGTATATTGTTAAATTTCAAATAAATAATTTGGGAAAACATATTTTCTCTTTTCAGCTATGTTGAGTTGCATAAGACAAATTCATGTGATAAATTGATTACTATTCCATTTGGTGAATTTTTACATCTACTGTTAGAATTAATGAAGCAATATATATTATTTGTTTGTTCATTTATAATTGAAGATTTTACCTTTATAAATACTTATGTCAGATTTAGAATTTCATTTTTCAACCATCAGAATTCTTGACATGTTATATTTTGAATTCACTCAAGTTTTAAGTAGCAAGGATATAATACCGATAATCAATTTTTACATCTGAGCTTTATAATATTTAAAAAAATAATGTTGCAGAGATTATGGACTCTTGAAATCAGGATCACTTTTCATTTTGATTATAGATATCAAAACTTGACGTCAGCTACAATATAACTCTTGGTTCTGAAGGAATGGCCGAACTTGGTAGAACAGTGATCAACTTTAAAGTTGAAAATCTGAACATTGCAGGTTGTGCATTAAATAAGAAACTCATGGAAGCATTCAGATTATCAATTGAGAAGGAGAAATTTATGGTAAGTAATTATACATAGAGTGCATGTAATGAAGTTAACACATGTTTAGGCCACATAATCCATTCTCAAAATTCTGTTAAATAGAAGATTATTCTGATTGAACATTTTGTTGTAGGTTGAAGTATTGAATATATCACGAAATCCTAAGCTTGAAAACGGAATTGTTGAAGTAGCTCGTCTGCTGGAAAGTTGTTGCATGAAGAAAGTGAATATGAGCAAATGCATGCTCTCTGCAGGAAATATTCATGAATTTAGCTCAATATTGAGAGAAAAGAATATCCAGGTTGGATAGTAAAACTTAAAACTGGGAAACAGAATAATAGATAGTTTTGATATGACCAATAATCAAACTCATTCAGATTTCATTTCAAAATTCTTTAATAGTTCGACAAATGACACATTGTGCTGTTAAAAACATAGTTGGAAGCCTAGCACTGATAACCAGGAATATGTTGCTGAGATAGAATATTTAAAAACATGATTATGGGTCGAATGGAGTAGATATAAAGTTAGATTATATTCCAATTCATCAGCAAAACTGAAAAATACACATTGGAAAAATAAAGTAGAATAATCTGGGAAGTACAAGTACTGGACATTTAGTCGTCATCAGGTGACTTGTTGTATCCTCCTCCGTCGACTCAACTGCTTCACTTTCTTATTATTCTGTTTGATAAAAAAAATTGTTATATTAATAATATCAACATCCAAATTATAACAATTACCATAATCTATTTTTAGGTTGAGACACTGAATATAAGTGAAAATAATCCAACTTTCATTGCAACACGACGTCACGCTGAAGCAGTCTGTGAACTTCTACGAAATGTCTCAAAAGAGCTGATTTTCAAAATCACATCCATTAAACCTCAAGTCAGAAGGATTTTGCAACATGGATTGGAAGAACTTTCAAAAGAAAAGGTAATTTTTGAAGCACTTTAGTAATTTATATAGTGTTGAAAAAGGCTTACAAAATTCTTAGCCAACAAAGAAATGATATTAACAAAAATGCACTTTGAAATCACGTTTGTGCTAAAATTAGGGACAATAAAAAAGTAATCCAATATATATCTTATGTCCTACCCAGCCAATCGTATCAGCTGTGTCAGATTATCTCATTTACGTAACTATGAAAGTTTATAATATTAATGTTGTGAGTGCAGCGACCTCATAACTTTCTTATGGCACCATTGTCATATTATATTGTTCTTTATTTAAGAAAACAAAAATTATACTTGGGAATGGCGATATTTTGGAACCTAAGAATAGACAAGCACAACCTACTACTACATGATTATAATGATTTATTTGCGAGAAAGTAAGGAGAGAATTCAGTCATTCAGCATGCGTTTCTCATTTTAATTTGAGCGACTATGAAACATTTTTTGCAACTTGCAATACTTATCATGCTTTTGTTTCGTCTGACCATGACCATATTATTAAAGAATTAAAATTTGAAAATATTTATGGGAGATCATTTCTTTTGTTATATTTAAACATTGAAGAGAGTTATTGTAATGTTATTGTTGGTAATTGTTGGTATCAATCCTTAGATATAGCATAGTTGCTTATATCTATTTCAGTATGCAGATTATATAATTTTTTTTCCCACAAGACATTCAATTTAAAATAAATTGTATATGTTTTCTTTTTTTTTCTTTTTTTGTTTTTTTTTAAATAAAAATTTTAAATTGAAAATAAATTAAATTAGAATTTTGACGTTCAAAAAGTATTCGTACATGTGCATTTTTCCATTTTTCCTTAGGATACTTTGCCTTAATTAATCTCAACTTTGAAACGAGTGCGGTGCTCCAGAAGTATTCGCACAATGTGGGTATTGAGTACGGTAATTCAAAGTTAAGCAAAGTGTCCTAAAAATGCTCTGGTACGAATACGTCGGGAGCACCAGCATTTTATATGATATAGAACAGTGGTTCCAAACCGCATGTCCGCGAAGCTTTTTTGACGGTCCGCAAAAATTTTGGCTGTTTGTATTCCGTCTCGATCGCTTCACCGAAGACGAGGTTGCGTTGGTTTATTACGCAGTTTCCGATGTCTTGGCAACGTCTTTTGCGACATCATGGCGCCGAGTTTCCACTTTCTGCTTTTTCGGCTCTGTTTCATTGCGAAAGCGCTTTATCAAGTCTCACAAGATATAGAAACCCAAAATTCGGCTCGTGTTTATTCTGTCCTACATGGTTTCTTGATTAATATGACCATCCATATAAAAGGTTACTCGTATTTCTTCGTTTAAATCAGAAAACAGTCAAGAACAGTATCATATTCCGCGGCTACAGGTGGCCCCGAGACGTGTAAAAAGCCGCTGAGATCTTTTCTCTGTATTTTGGGCAGGCACATCAGGACATTAAGCTTGGTGCCGAGTTATCGACAACTTTGATTTTGTAATGTAAATCATCATCACTACCTTTAGTTAAAACAAAGCAAGGAAATCGACTGCACGTCGCTGTAGAGCTACGTGTTGAAAAAACTTGCAATACTATATTGGAAACAAAACAGCAGCAAAATTCTCACTGTAGTTAATAGTGTTTGTACATGATTTGGCATGTTCATGTTTTTATGTGAGATGTTTTTTGTGTGCCGTCCATACGCATAATGCGTGCCCAGCATTGCATTGCGCATCACGAAATTATATGGCATTATATTATAATTCAACCAGTTCAATTTTTGGCAGGCAAATTAGTTTTCCTTCATGTGAAATATTTTTAAGTGTGCCTTTTTGTCTAGACTCTAGAGCAGGGATGGCGAACCTTTTGAACCTTCAATGAATGGTTCAAAAATTATAATTTTATCGGCGAACAGAAGAGAGTGGGTCACAGATATTTAATCAATGTTTGTATCTCTAAGAAACTTCTGAAACAAATCTTAAAGGTTTATGTTGGTGTATTTTTGGGTTTTACTTATGCATCACTTTAATTGGGGACTTTTTATGACACTCAATTTTATGAAATTGAAACTAAATTTTTCAGCATTAAAGACAATATCAAATGGAAGTCCACAACTGTCCTGCCTAACATTAATGTCAGTTTTACAATTGAAATTTGCATTTCCCCCCACTATTGCGACATAATTGGTTTGTAAACATCCATTACCAATGCCAGTACAATGAGTGACAGATGGTTATTACATTAGGGATTGTAGGCTAAAAGTTATTTAAAATGAGTTAATTTTAAGATTTCTCACATAGAATGCAAGGAAGATATCTCTGGAATATCAAAAACACTAAAAAATACTGAAAGTTTTATGGTCTATTATATCACAAAAAATATTCTGGAGAAATCGACCCAGTTTCAAAAAAACAAAATTCAAAAATATTAATGTCAGTTTTTTTCGGTTTTGGGCTGTAATTGATCAAAAAAAAATAATAAGTCGGGGACAAAATGAGTGTTTCAGAGTGTTATCAGTTCTAAGTATTCTACAGAAATTGTGAGTTTCATAAATTCTAGAACGCTAATTTATGTTTTTGATAAAACAAGCTCAAATCAAAAATTATGATTATGTGACCTGTGCCTTGACTTCGTACCTTGTATCTTTTTACATTTTATGGGCATACTGTATTTTGGACATAATCATTCTTGCGACGATTTTGAACTGTGTATTACTGAGAAATTGAGATGCATGTTCTGTTGCTTACTCTATATTCAAACTTCATTTTTATAATTCTGAACATTCGCATTGTATATTTGTTAGATTGCCTTATTATTGCCTTATATTTTGTTATTTATGATTATTTACATTTAATTCCATCTAATCTTTCTTGATTATTTTTTCGGAATTTGGCCATCTTGCTGAAATTAATTTGTAAAGTATGATTTTGAAATACAAATATTTGTCATTTTTTTTAGATATAGCATAATAGCTGTATTGATGAATTTAACAAATTGTAAACAATATTATTTGTAATGGCTGAGAATATAAAAAATTCTAGAAGGCAAGTGGAGTACACATGGAGTACAAGTCGCTTTGATTCGGATCTTGTCTATCATTTTGTGACATTTTTACGAGAAAATCAAAATAAACACAGTGTCTTATTTGATCATTCAATTCGAGAAATTATGGAAATGCGATTTCAGATTGAAGAACGTCAAAATGAAATACATGGTACAAACAATGGCGGATACCTGCACAGTAGAATTTCTACTGCATATTGTATTGAGTTACTTCAAAAAATGACACATTGCCTAAATGACATGCCTGATACACCGATTGACCCTTCATGTGTCTATTTGTCTAAAAACAAAAAGCAGTTCGCTATTGCAAGTCCTGCGCCCCCCAACAACATTGACAGCCTGAAATACTTTGCAAAATTTGCACTTTATCTTCTTTCTAATGGTCGTGTATCAGACCATGATGACCCTTCTCCAAATGACAAAGTCGATGAACTGAGGAAAATGTGTCAGCAAGGTCAAAGAGTGAATGCGTCTTCTTTATTATCTTTTTTAATAAAAGAACAAAACGAAGCAAATCGCATAAACACTAATATAGAACAAGAAAATATTTCTCTTGAACGGATTAAATCCTTGACTGGGTTTTTGTGCTGCAAAGAACCGATTTTAGCTTTCGATTTAGTGACTAAGATGTACAATGGAGAGTATAAAGAGGAGCGCAATGGTAAGGAGTACACTCGCTATGATGAAATTTTGCATCATCCATTTTTTTGGTCAGAGCCAAAAAAGTGTCAGTTCGTATGTGCTGTTTTTGAGTATTTCAAGATGAAAGATAAATTTACAGATGGATATAAAAAAAAATATGATGACGTTTTATGTGAAAAATATAAAATGTCTGGTGAATTTGTATTCTCTGAAAATGGATGGATTGAATCTCTCATGATACCTGGTGATGAATTGAGAAAATTGAACGAGAAAAAAGAAATTGCCAAACCTAAAACAATCCACAAAATTGCAATGAAAAAAAATCACAAAGAGCATTCTTTGTATGATTTGATGCGTTTCTTTCGCAACCGCTACACTCACTTTTTGGAGGATGAGGAGGATGTTAGGCATGTGTTTAAAAATAGCTCAACTGGATTTTGGAATTTTTTTGCTTCTAGGTATTCTTTCTTTTTCTATTACATTCACTCAAAGATGTGGCCGGAAGTGGAAGAACTTTCGGAGTTCAGACGTTTTAATGAATGTGCTCCAGAGTCAACTTATCTGAGTGCAAAGTACGGCGCAGACCCATAAACTAATTCATTCTTATTTGCTACATATCCTATAAATATATATAATATATGAACCCTTTTCAACTACAAGACATGCATTAATATATATATCGATAGAACAAAATATGGAATTTTTGTAAATGTTTTATAAGCTTGGCTTATTTTTGTTTCAAACTGCTGGGTGTGGTAAAATCTTTTATTGGTTGCCCAAATTTTGATGATAATGTATTGTAAGAGTTTTATACGGTTCATTAAAATTGTTTTTGTTCATTTTGGTGCAAGGTTTTTGTTGAACAGTCTTATGTCTTCCTAAGACTAATTTAAAGACTTTCTAGGTCACCCCTTTTACTGCGTGTATTGTTTTCTTTTTATAATGGTTACCAACAGGTAGCACAATGTGCCAAATGTCGAAATACAGTTTTATGAAGTATATTGCAATCTTGACTATAAATAATCCCAAGGTTACCTTTAAAACTTCTTTACAAAGTCAGAACTTGTCCCAGGATTATTCGGGCTATAAGTCGTTGAAATAAAGTGGTAGCTTTACAACGACCATTATCATTCTGGTTTGCGTTATTATATTTCATGGGCACAATGAGCCACATCTCCGCAAATTGTATTGAAGAGTTTCATATGTGTAATATTTCATTGACATGCGCATTTTGTGAATAATGTTTAACAAAATATTGGCTAGTACAGTAATTTGTATGTTATGTGTATGTTTTTATGTTATAAAAAAATTATCACAAAAAGTTCCTCACAAAAGTTTCACCAAGGAGTAAAAGAGACTGATATATGAGTAAAGTTACCAGTGGCCACTTTAGTGTCAAAACTTTCTGTAAAAATTATTGCTTGGGATTATGTAAGTACTGATTGACATGCGACTATAAAGAAGATTATGAGCATTCGATTTTATTTTGATTCTAACCCTTACTATAAAATATTTTTATTATTTTTTATATTGTTATTATCCCATACTCAGTGGGTTTCTGATATCCACCAATTTCAAATTCATACATATATATAAATATGTATATTTATATATATATATAAAACACATTTAGAAAGTTGTTGCATTTGGGTTATTATCTTCCTCATATCTTAGACAAGTGTTTTTCATGAAGCAAAATATACTATTTGGGTGTGAGGTCTCGAGCCTTATTTATTTACAGCTCATTGATGGTCTTTGGCCTTTCTTCTAAAATAACACCCTTTTGAAATTGGAGAATTAAAATTTGATTGCAAACCCGCAACGAGTTATGAAACAATACCAAGTAGGTTTGGAAAGAAAAAATGTTGGACTTGGGTGATTGATTTTGACTCTCCGCCTTGTGGTTTGATATTATGTTTCTAATCAGAAAGGGCAAATTGGTATTTGAAGACTTTACTGGAATTCAGTGGCCCTATGCTCCTAATCTATGCAATGTAAAAAAAACTGTTAATTATAAATTTTAGTTGTTTTCCAATGCTCATTGTAAATTTACAGTTTTTATCATTTATGGAACTTTCATCTACTGCACTCGGTTTTTCTTGTTTATCATGATTGACAACTGCTGTACTAAATCTTGCTGTAATAGAATACCATTTCATAAATATTTCAACTTATCCCCTCTAATCCTTCCTAATGTATATATATATCTTTTTATAACTCCACGTATTTCCCCAACTTTTAAAATAGAAAAATAAACGAAAATAACAAAAATATAATTTAATTTTTTTTTGTCTATTCCCAAAATTTCCAAAATATATAAAAAAACTAAGAAAAAGGAAGACTGATCTACGAGCAATGTTACGATTGATCACTGAAGCGTCAAAAGCTACTGAGCTTATTAGGAGTTATAGTGTGGAATTACATGTCAGTAAATATTGATTGGAATGAGACTTGAAGTAGCCAAGGGAGGAAGGAGCTCATGGAGTATTGGCTTTGATTTTGATTCTTCAGCCTAAATGAAAATAGATTTCTTCAAATTTTATTGTTGTTAACCCGTGACTTTTTTTTTGTATTTATTTTTTTTTCTAAATTAACTTATATATTACTGTATATATACAGTTCGACTTTTTGTTATTGTTTTCTTGTTAGACTTGCTTATGGGTGCAGCTGCTAGATAACCAAGTTACTCGCGGCTCCCCTGACCCTGAAATGCTTTTTAATTATTAATTGCAATTTGTATATCAAGTGCTTTTAGTATGGTGAGAATATAAACCACTGATTACTGAATAAAGTGAAATTAAACATTTATGCATATTCACAATATGATAAAGAAGGAGTCCATATTCTGGAATTTCTCGCATTCAGTTCATTATATATCTCTTCGATAGAAGTGTAATTTCACGAAGCAAAATGTGCTGTTCATATGCGATGTCTCAAGCCTGATTCATATACAGTTTAATGTTGATAGCAATCTTTGGCTGAATAAAACAATTCAATAATCTGAACGCTTACAAACTAGTCAAGTGGGCGATCGCAAAGTATGTGTCCAGAATTATGGAGGTAACTAATTTTGTTCGCCTATTTTACATCAAGATTTGTAAAATGACTGAAACGTATGTCAAGGGGTATATATTTGGTTGGCTAAAACAGACAGTCCCCGAACTCGTAATAAAACTAATTTAATAAAAATCGGTAAAAAATATGTCCTAACCCTAACGTGGTACACATACTACGGTACAGAGTACCGTCGAGTCAACTTTTAATTATGCCATTGTGGATAAAACACCTGTTAGAATTGTTATTTTCATGCAAATCTGCTTTCCCAATCAGTCTCCATTGTTTATCCTGTATAAAGCGAACAGTGACTTGTGATAGAAAATTCATTTTTCGAAATTGCCATATGCATTGGCTTTTGCTTAATATAATTATTGCAAAAGTGAAATATTTATTGCATTCAGCAATTTATGTCTTTATTATACAAAACGAACTTGGCAACATACAGCCCAACATTACACTTTTGCCTGCATAGTCTAACGAGTTTCTTTAGTAAAAACATGTTTATGATTTTAATTTTTTCCAAATTGTTTGTTATATTTTGTGTCAATGTAGCAGCATCTGTATAATAAATAATCAGTGTGATAGACTGGGCCTCCATGCCCAAGACCTTGATCGTCTACAACTAAATTTTTGCAAGGTGCGTGCTGCTTGAATCTTATTAGGTATGATTCTTTGTGAGAGAATACATGAATCAACTTATAGGGTGTATAATGAAACCCATGAACCTCGTCCAATCTAGAATGTTTTACTAATAACTATTCATCTGAGTTAGCTTGGGCAAGAAGCTGCTGTTCACCATATAGCTCAATTTAAGTCACTTTATTTTTATTAGCCACATACATAAATATGAAAAATTAATCCAAACCCCAGAAATTGCCCTATTTGACAACTCATGTTTATTATGACATGACTTTTATGGTGGTCCTGTCGGTATCAAAACTTTAGTCCGTATCAGAATTTTTTTTTTTATAAAAGATGTTTTTTGCAAATGATGTGATATGCAAAACATGTGATATAATGGTGGGCATAAGCAATGTCCCTTTGTGGCAGATTCAGGTTCAGTCTTTAAGAATTGTGATAATACATGAACTGAGGAAAGTCAATAAGACTACTTAATCCTATGACGAACCACGGACTCGCGCTCGGTTACCAATGCATGTCAGGTATGGGATTAGTTAGCTAACGATTTGTTTCAGATGCATGTCAGTCATTCCCAGTCATATTGAGATGAGATTGTGAGTAGTTGTATTAGTTGTTATTAATAAGACACATACGGCACCGGTACCACAGATCCAGTCGCTGGTCTCATTAGGCAAAGGTTCTTGAGATATACACTCGGTGGCAATAGTGAACAGAAAAACTCACATATGACTTTTGAACTATTAAACTCTGACCGAAAAAACTTTTCTATAATTTTTATTTGTACGGTATATTATACTGGGTATTTCTTATTGCAGTACATTTAAAAATAGTAATGTAAATCATTAAATATAATGTAAATCATCAAACAAGTGTTAATCGACACGATTCGCAGCTATCTCAATATTTTGTAAAACTTCAACAGCCGCTTGGTGGCAACAAGCAGAGTATCCATGACGACAAAATTTTAGTTTCCGGTCGATAGCGAGATATTTTCAAGTGTTCATTCTTGCCTGGTGTAGGGCGGTTCAGAGCCACGCTGGTTGAAAATGAAGTAAAACTCAATGCAGGAGGGCTTGAAGCAAATTTTCTATATCGTTCAACTTTCTCAAACATTATGTATGACAATCTAAATTGAAAGTGAGAGTGCATTTTGCTATTCAATATTAAATGTCCAAATGTGAAAAGGCTGAGGACTCAAATGAGCTTGCAATAGTTTCCAGGCAATCTAATTACAATTAGTAATATATCTTAAATATAAGATTGAGTAATATCTGAGGTTTTGACAGATAGTTGCTGAAATTAGCTACTTTTTCAAAATTATTTGCAGGTATTATCCTGTTGTGGTCCCGACCCTTTCAGATCCACCTTTATTGTTTCTGTTTGTCTTAAGTTCATGGTATGTTATTGCACCACTTTTCTCCTTGTCGTCAAAATTTACAACCTGCTGATATTCACTGAAAAATCTTGGGAGGGCATTCACTAGATGAATTTTAACTACCGGTTAGGCAAGAAGAATTGTTAGGAAACTTACTGAAATTCTCTGCAAGGTTTATACTGAACTGCTGAAAATGGTCATAAAATTCATCAACTATTGCTGTAGCCTATGCAACTTAAACTGATTCTCATCCAATCAAAATTGTAAATCAAGTACTATTGGGAGGTACCAAAGATACTGCATCTGATTAGTGACTCTAGTGAGCACCGGTTTTCAATCAATCAATCAATTTTATTCGTTCACTCTGATACAAACAAAACACAAAACAATAACAAAGGGACAAACAAAATACAGAGGACCTGGAGGACGGGCATAACTTAATAAAAAAGTTAAATACGTACAAGTACGTGCCCGTCCCCCAAAGACAGGCAAAACACAATAAAACAAAAACACGATGTGACATCGGGCAATATCTTATAAATTCAAATTAAAATGTGAGACGTGTATGTGCTTTTCCTATACAGATATATGGATTAAAGAACACTCGCTGACAAAAAAATGATGATGTTGTGGGCCTACTTCAATTATATTGCAAAAATAACACAGTGACAATTTTTTTTTACTAAAAAACAAGCTTGGTAAATGGATTGAATGTTCCATAGCAGTCTATACACAAATCATGAATTGGGGTATTGGGTTCTTTTGTCGTTTTCGGTTAGTTCACTTTAAAATCATTGTATCCGTTCCAATGCTTCCAACATTAATATCGAATTTCCACGAACGACCACCATTCAGCCATTCCAACAGGTGCAGTGATCCCATCTTTTCTATGCTCTGTTTCATTATACACGACTAGATTCATAAAAGGATCGTCCACCATTTAACTTTAAATCCAATCTTTTATCCATAAACTTCTTTAATTTTAGTAGATGGGCTTTGCTCATGTTGATATTGCGCGATACAGATTACAGATACCGAAATATACAACGCGTGGCATTCACTAGTCTTTTCAAGCTGACACGTCCGCAACCGACGACGGTCGGAACGGAACGACTAGTTTGAATCAGCTCCATTTTCTATTCATAGAAATAAAAGTTTCAAATTAGAATGAATATAGGGTCTAGTCAGACTCAGACAAAAATCGAATACAACAAATAAGCAAAATGATACACATGTATGCTACGTTGAGCTGGTAACTGAGCGATAAATGAATAAATGTCACCATTTATCAGAGTATCTTGTTTCATCTGAATAAAATGACTGGGACTTGTACTCCACTAATTGCTATCTTCACTTACAGACTTGACGTGAGGCTTGGATGATCTGTAACTAGACTCACGACTTGGTGTTTACTGACTTCAAACTCGTAAGTGATTGTGAACATGTTAGACCAGTGGTTCCCAAACTTTTTAGAGTTGGGACCCACTATGTATTACCACAGCTTATGGCGACCCACTTGATTTTAATTTAATTTTCTTTTGTTTTCTTATGACATAACACAGAACACAGCAATGGCTAATCATCGCACAACTACAGTGTTTCCTCGAAAATAAGACCTGGCCTGAAAATAAGATAATAATTTGAATTTTCAAAATGATATTAATTAAACCCTACCCTTAAAATAAATTTAAAATGTGTGTGAGAAGAAAGGTTCATTGGCCTGAAATAAGGTGAAGATCACACCACTATTCAAGATTGTGTTGTGTGATATCACAATTATGATATTTGTCATTTGATTTTTGTATGAGAAATACAAATAAAAACAATGGATGTCTAAATTTCGGGGGAACAGGGTAAGAAGTGCTGTACAGTGTACAAAACTGCTATGCGAAAAAAAGCCACATGGTCATTCTTTGAGTAGCAAAATTTTGTTCCTTTGCGAAGATCGTAAAAGGAAACTTTCACAGATTAGCCTGAGCCTGAGCATGCAATGTTTTTTTTTCAGATTTGTATCTTTGTTGAGAACTTCAAAGAATGAAAAGTTTCTGTGACTGAACACATGTACACATTGCCCAATTACAAATTCAGCATGTAGTTAAAAGAGTCATATTGAACATTCCATTCCTACAATAATTTCAGGCTGAATGTCTAATGCCCTTGCAGTTCATACCTCTTCTCCTGCAACACAACACAGACATTCAGTACCAACTCAAAAAGGAATTAGATATTGAAAGAGTTAACTCTGAAAACAGCGAAACTAATCAAACTAGTATAATTCATGATTTAAATTCTTATTGCTTTTTTATTCATGGTTTTTGGTGAACCTGGACATACCTATGCCCGTTTAAAACTTTATTTTATGCTTTTCCAGAACATGGGTGCAATATGAGGTATTTATATATTTCTTAATATTAAGTGGTTGCATTATTGTGTGTGTCATTTTTATATTAGAATTCAATTTTGTCTCG